AGAACGAATAATCTGTTTAGTGAAGGTTAATTCTATTTTATTTTAGAATTTTGTACAAACTTAATATGGATTCCATTTTATAAAAAAATATTCTTATTTAACTCGATGAGTTTAATTTCAAAATTTTTGTATTTTACATTAATTCAATTGTAGTAATTGTTTTTAGGTTTAGTTTAATTAAATTTATTGCTTTTAATTTCCAATTACTTACTTTACTGTTTGAATTTGTTATTCTATTTCTTAAGCATGTTGTAAATTTTTGAAGTTAACTTTAGCTAACAAACCAGTATTATCATAGTATTGTGCAGTATATATATATAGTATATAGTCCAATATATGGTCAGTATTGTCATGTATCTTAATAATATTAAAAATTTAAATCTTTTTAATGCTGTGCTCTATTAATATGCTTCTTTGTTTTATTAAATAGACTTTCGCATCCATATTTATATGTATTTTATTTATATTTTTATTAATTATAATGCTAGTCGGTATATAGATGAATACATATTTAACTCTTTTTGTTTTAAACATACTCGTCGAATTTTTATAGAAGTTTTGGGAGTTATTCTATTTTAATCCGTTGTAACATATATCAATACATATATATATTGATATATTTATGTATACTACAATATACAAATATATATACATCCAGCTCAAAAAGTATCCGGATTTTGTAAATAAAACACACAAATTTAAATTTTATTCCAAATTTATTTTATCTCATTCAAAATATGCTCCTTCTGAAGCGATATACATATGCCAACGCTTAACCCAATCTTCCATACACTTTTCGTAGGCCCGTGCAGGTATGTTGCTTCGTTCCTTCGACGAATTCTCTTTTACCGAATTACTCGACTCAAAACGCGAAGGGGCAATTTGAGTTTCAGGAATAGGAAAAAGTCACACGGCGCCAGATCTGGCGAATATGGTGCCTGAGCGATGACAGTGGTGCCGTGTTTGGTCAAAAAATCGCATACAACAAGAATTTTCCATAGTAAAAATCGCTAAATGCACTTGAGGTAGTCCCACATAAACAGCTGCTGTAAACAAACTAATTTACAGATGGCGCTCAAATTTGTACCATATGTCAAGAAAGGGTGTACCTACATAACAAACTTTATATATAAAGTTGGCACATATTTGCTATGTACATTATTAGATAATTGCCTTAAACTAGTAAGTACATATTAAACACACTTTTTCGATTTATAACATAACCTATACTGAAGTATATAACGGTTTGAAATATATTAAATGTGATAAAGCAAGTTGTAATGATTTTTTATCTTAAATATAAGTGATAAACACTAATTTGAGTAGAAAGTACTTCCGAAAGTAGAGAGAACAAAAGATTTTAATATGTCTTAACTACCACCAAAATTTGGCAGGAGGTGGTGGCATTTAAACTAATATCCAGGTTACTCAAGTTTCATCAAGCAAATAAGAAAAATGTTATATTTTTCTAACATAATATTGTATTCCTAGTATAAACACATATTTCAGATCTCGATTTCACACAGTGGTTTACAAATAAGGTTTTAGCCATACTATATACTTGCAGGTCATAATTATTTGTTAGTTGTTGATCCTGTCTCTTGATCTGATATTGTTATATGTGCTAATATAAGAAGTATAAATATTGATTGTAAGGTTACCAACAACATAAGCAATATCATTAGAGGAGTACAAGACCAGTACCTCGAGTAATCAACATTTAAAATCTAATATTTGGATCAAACACTATGTTTGAGTTGTTAGAAGTCGGACAAAGTTTTATCATGAAAGAAATTACAAAGGTGTATAGATTGGTTAGGAACAGCTAGGTAGAGGTAGAATACTTTCTTGTTTTCGAACAAGAATGGATTGCGGTTGAGTGGATCTTCGTCCTGTTACCATCCATCATGTTCTACGAACGACAATACCAGCAAGTACGTGTTTTGACATGTGTGTATTGTTAGAGATTGCATTTCATGGGTGTAAGAGAAATAATTGAATCCTGATATATAAAAATTTTCTCTTATCATATCTATCGTCAAAATTTTATTTCATCAAAATCAATTATAAATTTAACTTCGTTTTTTAAAAAGAAGATCACTACTATGTGGATTATACTAACATGTAGAACATAATTTTATGCTAAAGTGAAAAATTTCAATGTAATAATTGTACAATTTGTGTGATATTTTAAGAAACTCCCTTATCTAAGGAGGAAACCATTGCCATATGTGATATATACGAAACTCCACTTCCTCTAATAACAAATTCCACAGAAGTTGATTGTGGTTTGATAAGCATTTTATTGGCCATTTGTTATGATGTACGGTAAGTATTTCTGTTTTATTCATTTCTAAATAAAATAAGTATAAATGTTGACGTTATTTCTTTTTTTAGTATCACTGCAGATGATCCAACATGTGATAGTGCACGTACCCGCTCTATCTTAGCTCCAGTATTATGCTACTTCGAACCGTTTTATTCGATGAAAGATGTTGTCGTTAGTTTTTTACGCCGCACACTCATATATACATATTACAGAAATTATGAATTGAGTCGCATGTGCCTAAATGATGCCGTTGATGCCATAACGAAGAAACCAAGTTGGATATTAGCACAACTGATAGTGACACACAATTTGTTTTTGGAAGACATAGATAGTCGCGATATATATAATTTATATTACATGCGTCATTATATAAATTATTTGAATGATAAAATTAAAACGAATAACAGTGATTATTTCTATGTTTTATCAAGAAATTTGAAAAACGTTGTGGTTGGTTTGTCCATGAAAATGTTAGGGCTAGATTTAATCGATTTGGAACTTCAAATTGTAAATGAATTAATGAAGGATTTTGAATTTGGCAGTCGAAATAATAGTGAAGAACGAAATCAAGTGGAAGAACAACATTTAAGCTTATCACATAACAGTATTACAGATGATGAAATTGAAGATAACGATGATGATGATGAAGATGATGATGATGATGATGACGATGATGAAGAAGACGATGAAGACAATACTTTTACAGACGATGATACCGATATAGAACATGAAGTTGCTGAAGAAGAAATTGAAGATGAGGCTGAAGGTGAAGCTGATACTGAAGATGATGCTGACGGTGAGGGTGATGTTGATGGTGAAGACGAAGAAGACACTGAAGAGGCTGAGGAAGCCGAAGACGAAGACGACGAAAATGTTGACTCTATTGTAGATGTTGAAGATGATGATGATGATCTAGGTATTGAGGAAGAAGAGGAAAGCGATGAAGAATATTTAGACCTTACCGATTATGTTAGCAGCACCGACGATGATAATAACAACCCGGACAGTGCTGAAACACACATAAGAAATTACCAAGTTAAGGGTTTAACAGAGGCAAAACAAAAAAAAATGGATGGCAATCAAAAAAATTCAGATTCTTCAAATAATAAGTGATAATAGCTAAATATACAGGTTCATATTTACAAATAAGGCTGTTATTGAAAAATTTCTAAAATATTACAATTATTTCTAGTATGTTTTTTTTATAAAGAATTGTATATATTGTATACATAAATTTGAATTAGAGTATTGGAATTATAATGTTTAGTGATTATTTTTTTTTTGTGTTGTTGAACATCACACCTGAAAATTCTATCAAATTGTGAAATGCTTCTGTTATAAGTTTAGTGAAGTATATTTTCGAGATACTTTTTGTTTGTAATAATAAAAAAAATTTGGAACAATAAATTCAAATTTAATATTAAATTAAATCAAGAAATTTAACAATTAATGTTAACAATTTTGATAAGTGTTAATTATGTATCGTTTTTTGTACTAAACAGTTATGCTAATTATGTATTGTGCTGAATATTTGTGCTAAATAATAAGATATGAGATGAAAACTACTACCTCAAAAAGTTTCGGTATAAAGTATATATCGATTATATTTTTGACTAATATGCATCGAGTAAATATTTTAGTTAAATAAGTAAACATTTACTGCTAAGAGTAGTTAAATATTAAATTTATTAAACTATAGTTTAATAAAAAATATTTATTAAGCTTATAACGAACATGAAAATGAAAAAAATGAAGAGAAATAAACGCATTTTTGTTTTAAAAGTTATTTTTTATTATTTATTTAAATAAGTTTAATATTTATACATAATTTAAACATAAGCATTCAGAGCAATTGTTATTTATATTGAGAATATAAGAAAAAAATCATTTCTCGTCCTAAGACGAATTTTTTTATAGTATGTATATATTTTTTATTTACAAGTTAATTAAATTTTCTGCCTGCCTTGTGTAAAAGTGTGTAAAATGCTAGAGTGGTTCTAATTGTAGTATATTCGTAGAACCATATAGATTTCACACTCTTTGGTTTAGACAGCATAAGAAAAATTATTATTTAAATTTATTTTTAAAATAAAAAAAAAAAAATAAACAAAAAAGCATATAATGAAAACTTAAAGCTAATGTCTTCTTTATTTCGTATGTTTCTTCTAACTTAGACTTTTAAAGAAATGGCTTTCATTGAATTAGATATTTTTTATGTATAGGATTTTTTTTTCGAAACTAACACACACTGAATGTCAATTTGAAATTAATATAATGAAAGTGTTTTATATACATTTTTATTTTTGATAATACATATATACCATAGGACTGACTGACGTTTTAAACTCGAATATTACATTATGTAAAACAAAGAATTAATATATATAATTTAAATTGTTATATATATAAATATTCATTATATGAAAGAAGATATATTTATTAAAAAAATCTCTTTGTATTGAGGAGTAAAAAGATTAAACTCTTCAATTAAATTCAGATTCTGTTTTCATATTCAGATTAAATTAAAATCAAAACACTTGCATCATTTAATTTTCAAATTTTGGCATTGCCTATCAAATGAAATTTTGTCACTTTAAAACTTAATTATGGTTTCACCAATTTTTATGTAATTAATTATGCAAAATTACTAAATATTTACAAAAGCAAAAAGTAAAAAATGAAAAACAAATAATAATATTTTAAAATAAAAAAATAAAAATTATATCGAGTACAACTAGTATTTGAGTTCCCCTAAAAGCGTTTGCAATGTTTCGGCAATGCAAGGGACTTATCCTGTAAGCTGCTACAGATCTATAACGAATTTATAAAATAAGTTAATATTCACGTAAACTTGAATTAATAAATTGTTAAATTACTCATAGTCTCTTGTTGTATTTCCACTTTGTAGGAAGGATTATCGTAGGCAGCATCACTCTTACGTGGAGGCGTTATGGAAGCAGTCTGATGTACACGCCTTCTAGACAATATCAGTAACAGAACAAGTGTAGACATTATCGCTAAAGCAGCCACTACTGAGACAACGACTAATGTTCCATAGTAATCACCAGTTGGTTGATCTATACCAGCTGTTAATAATTTTCCTGTGGAGAAAAAAGCAATGGATATTAAACTTTATAAGGTAAGAATAATAGTGGAAGAAGTGGAAGAAACACAAGCGAATTAATATAAAATCTTTTCTATATGTAAAAAAGATCATATAATATTAAAAAATGGAATTACTTATACTAAGGATTGCAAAAAAAAAAGGAAATAGGTAAAATCCTATTGAACTGGTATTGTATACAACAATAAGAGTTCTGTATTACTTGTTATTGGAATAGTAGTTGGGTTATACTAACTTTGCTTTCTGCTAAATTACTTGAAATTTATAATATATAGCAGTTATTTATAATCAAATCGGATATAAAGTAACCTAAGAGGTCTATTATGTATTTTAACGCTACTATATAATTTAACTAATTACTAATTTTGAAAATCGCTGCAAACTACAAAATATATTTTAAAATATTACCACTATCCTTGAAGTACACATATATTCTTTCGAAAACATTAAGATCTTTAAAATTTGAAGTTACTTTATATTAATATACTTCTACAAAAAATTTTACTAAACTTACCAGTTTTACCAGGTATAGCTGACCCACCAGTTTTAGTTACAAAATTAACTACATTACTCTTTTTAATATTGCCATTTGTCAAGTATACTTCCAACCATAATCTATAACTAGTAGCTGGTTTTAAGTCCATAATTAAAGTGCCAGTAGTACTATCACGTTTTGCCACCTTAAAAACGCTCGAATCCTCCTTACCAGCATCACTTTGGTAGATGGCACGATAAATATTAACAAATTTATCTTCCGGATATGGTACTCCACTCCAAGATACTTCCACACTCTGTGATTTTATCTTAGTTACATTAACCATTATATCAAAACCGTAAACATCGACCTTTGGTGCGGTGCGTACTTTAATCATATGACCTGCAAGCATTTCTGCACCATGTCCCGTTAATGGTATATAATACAAACCGATTTCGTAACCTGTATCAGCTTGTAAATTTTCTAATGTATATGCGGTTAATGAACGATGAACTAAAGGTGTTGAAGAATATATCATGCCAGCAAGTTCCTTATAACGCAATTGTATGCCATCAACATATTCTAATTGCTCATCAGATAATTTCTTCCAAGTAAGTTGTAAAAATGTTGAGTTAGTCTCACTTACATTCAATTCAGGATCTTCAACATTTTTGAATATATCTTGGAAATCTGGTCTATAATCAGACACATGTGGTGGTGGAGTTATCAGACGATCAGCTGGTGTCTTAACTGTGTACACAGAGCTTGTAGGCTGCGTTTCCAGTTCTGAATTTCTAAGTATCAATGTAATTTTTACTTTATATAGGGAATTTGCTTCCAATCCGGGTAGATCAAATTCCATTTGTGAAGTAGCAATTAGATCTTCTGGTGGTGCAAAGATTTGTTGTTCCCATTTTGTCGTATCGTTGCTGGGTCCATTTGTATAACGCAATTCAACACGTCCCTGTAAGTTAACATAGACTGGTGGAACTGTAAAGACTATCCGTACAGTATGCGCATTTATGGCTTCTAATGTGAGCACTTCAATGCCAGTTTGAAGATTGTTGAAACCTAAGAATGTTTAAAAGAGGAAAGTTCAATTAAACCGTTATTTGTTCTTCGAATGATTGGAATAGTAAAGTAGAGTTATTATACTTCATAATGGCTTCATTTGAAAATCATTTATTTTCCGAGAAATAAATTTATATTGAGAGCATAAAAATTTTGTAAATTTAATTTTAAGAATGGAGTTTAATAGTCCTTAAATCCATTTACAGATATATGTATATATCATATTTAATATGGAATATTTTGTTTTTTATTTATATTTTATAAAAGATATCACTCACTCTCATGCTTTAATTTTAAATTCGGAATATATATTTTATATATGATATAAAATACATATATATTTTATGATATAGATAACACCATTTCATAAAAATTTTTCTAAGACATTCGTTTTAATCTACTGTTTAAATATTTATATTCATCGCGTCATTTTTTTTTAAACTTCTAACTATTTTCGTTTCTATTAATCATAAGGAAACACAATTAACTTTGTTCTCCAGATCATAGAGAGTCTAAATGCCAGACACATTTAAACTCCAGAGACTTTTATAATTATAACTAAAAATGAGATTTCTACCGAATATAGAAAGTTTATAGTTTTTATATATATTTATATATATTTGTATTTATATATATATAAAAAAATGTTTATATTTTATAGTTAAGGAAAATTACTTATTTTCATCCCGATTAAGAGTAGGAATTTTATAATAAAAGAAGATTTTCAAATTTGATCCATTATTTATCTGAATAATGTTACTGTTATTTTTTGACTATATACGGTAATAATAAATTATATAAAATAAATTTTTGTTAAAGTTATAATAACAAAAGTCTACAAATATGTGTAAATAGTTCTACTTATATTAGTAAATTGTATAGCAGAGTGTAGAAGAGACAGGTATGCAAAAGTGTTGAGTTAAGTATGTACTGCTGTATGAATATCTAAAATTTTTAGATCAATTGGCGAGTATACCTTCATTGTTAGTTTTCATTGTTATTTAGTTAGTTCAGAATCCGTCACCAAAATTTAATCTTTTTAAAAATATTAAGAAACAATGTAATACAGCAATATGTATAGATAGTCTATAAAACATATGAAATGAGAATAGGTACATATGAACTATTTATGTGACTAATATTGTAGAATATATATGCATGTATGCTCAACCTGTTTGAGATGGTCTCGTACCGACTATAGGTAGTACACCGTGTTCCGAAGATTGTGCAGTCAAACCCACAACTGCAGGTGTGGTTGAAGTAGAAGCAGCACTTTGCGCCGTTTGTAGTGTTGGTGTCTGGTTGTGATGCCTTATGGGTGCCCCTAAACCAGGTATGATCTGATAACCACCATATGAAACTGGTTGACCATCTACAATTGCAATACCATGTGGTGGCGGCGGTGGTGGCAAACCACTGTGTACAATTGGTACATATTGTGGATGCGTAGGCAACTGTGTATTTGCTCCACTAACGTTACTAGGTCCCTGTGCAATATATGGGCCTTGTGGATGGGCATTAGCTTGCAGGTGTTGCAATATATGTTCAATGTGTACATGTGGCGGTATATTTGGATTACCTTTACCACCAACAGAATTCACATTTATTGGCGCACCAGCACCAATTATATTAAATAAATCAGATTGACTAGTTGGTGGTGGTGGCGGTTTACCCTGTGGTATTCCATTTGGATTCACTTCATATTGTTCATATGGATTAAAATCCTCATAATGGTCTTTATTGCTGCCGACAGGATTAAAGTAACCGTAAGGTCCAGGTTGCCGATGGGTGGGCAAATTTTGATTGTAATGCACACTATCGTAGGGAGATATGCCGTGACCGAAATGTAGCGGTATAAAACCTGGTCCCGGCTCATCGTGCTCTTGCGGTTCATGCACATCATATTTAATATCGTTCTGTTGTGGTTTCACTACCTGCACCGGCTTTTTTGTAGGTTTTTCGTGTTTCTCAGGTTTCACCTCAACATAGGTGGGTACGCCTTTTGGTGGCTTGCCATCAAATGTGGGGTAAAATGCATTTACCGGCTTTTTTCCTGGAGGTTTGTTGTCAATAACGTCATTTTTACTGTTATTATTAAGTGTTGCTGATTCTGTGTTGATGCCGCAGATTTGTTGTTGTTGTTCATTTAAAATTATTTACAGATATTTTTTGGAAGTTTTTTTTATAAAAATGATTTTTTAGCGAATTTTAGCGTAAATGCGGGTGCACATTTATATGAAGCACATTAAAAATAAAAGAGAAATTAAAATATAAAAGAAAATTATAATGAAATTAAAATAATTATTTTTATGATTTAATTGAAATAAAAACAAAACACATAAATACTAAGATATGTTCAGTCTTTGTTTCTGGTAATGATACTATACTCTTGCTGCTTCAGTTCAGAGTATTCGAATCTTGTGGTATGATTGATGAAATCGTGATTTTTATTAACAATAATGATGAAGAAAATTAATAGATTTAATAGAATCACTGTAAAATTATAATACACATGCGCATAAATCTTAGCATCTGATTTTTTAAGAAGTAGCCAATAGCTTTACATTATCTTATATACTGCTAATATCTCTTAAAATTGTCTATTATATTTTTGCGATACCCACAATTAACTATAACTTACTTACTAAAATTGGGATTTTAAATTGCAATTTTAAGTTAAAGTCGTTTCAAAAATTTTATTGGTTTCAGTATTCAAAGTATCTGTTAAATTCTTTTTGTTTTAATTCCTAAAATATGTTAATAATATATGTACAACACAAAAAAAAATATCCTATTCATCCTATTAGCCTACCATTAGTTTATCTATATATATGTGAGCAGACGTTTTCACAAGTGAAAAAATTAGTGTTTAGGAATATTTTCTCAATATTAAGAATTTGTTTTTTTAGATCTTCCCTCGAGTTTCAGCGCATAATAACAAAGTCATTTTTAATGTTACTTTAATATCAAATTGAAAATATATTGTAATATATTATATATTGACAGTTATATATAATATGATAATATGATATATATATATATATATTATATATATATTGACAGTTTAAATATGAACGCTGCTGGTAACAGCACTAAAGAACTAACACTAAAAAGATATACCTTATAATGTCATATACCATTACCTCCGATGGTACCCATGGATTTTAGCGTGTAATTCCTTCGAATTTGTATTTATATATATTCTTTTTTGTTATATACAGGGATAGGCAATTGAAATGTTATCAACTACATAGAGGTATATCAGTCAAACTAATATTTCCAACAACGTGAAATTCATAAGAATTATAGTTGTTTATATTGTTCACAAGCTAAGAAACAAAAGTTACTCGAAATGGAATTCAACGTAATAGTATGATTGCGTTATATTTGGTTGGAAAATCGCAATCAGCTGTTTATGAGTTCATGAGTTTAAACACTAAGTGAATAAAATGCTTGTGTATCGTACCATAAATCTTCATAATAGTGCAGACAGCGTCGCCAAACGAAGAAAAAAACAGGAATATCAATGCTTCAGATAGTGAAAAATCGACTTGAACGAAATCCAGTCGTAGTGGTAATTGAATGGTTAAAGAATTTAAAATATTCCAGTGAAGCATCCGACGCATATTCGAAAATAAGCTCAAGGTAAAACCTTACAATTTCCAAAAGGCACAAGATCTTGCACCGCAGCCACAAAAAGTTAGACTCGAAAGAGCAAAGGAGTTGTTACGCTTGCACGAACGTGGCGAATTTCAAAACATTGTATTCTCTGATGAGAAAAATTGCCCTATTGAGCAGTTCATAAACTCTTAAATTGATCGTGTTTATTAAACTGAACGCAGTTCCGAAAATTTGAATAACTTGAAGTAATTTTCCATCTCATGTAGTGGTATGGGTAGCTGTGACTGCCGATGGTTGCTCTCCAATCATTTTCATCTAGCCTGGTGTCAAAATGCGACTAATTATCGGAAAAATATTTTAGAAGTTACATTAGAGCCGTGGGCACGCAAACATTTTGGTCGTAAACCATTGACGTTCCAACAAGACTCGGCACCAGTCTTGGTCTCATAAATCTCTTGGAAATCAAGAATGGTTAAAAAATCATATTCCCATTTCGTCCGCACAATGGCTTTTTAATTCGCCAGATGTAAATCAGATGGACTACTCTAACTGAGTTGTTTTAGAGAGCAAGGTGAGGAGTAAAAAATATGCCAGTATGGATACGCTAAAGAAAGCCATTGTTCAAGAATGGGTGAAACGTCATTTTTTAAACGTTTGAAGGTCATAGTCAAAGCGAAGGCAAAAGGTGGTCGCATTGAGCTAGAGTAAATGGATTCTGAAATTTTGATTATTTCTACAAATTTTTATATTTCGAATCAATAAAAAATAAGTTCACTCAAAAAATATAAGGTCACTTAAATAGGTAACGCTTTAATAGGTCTAACCCTGTACATATGTAAATTGATTTATTTCAAAACATTTCAAGTTTTCATATGATGTTCGCTAGATACCACTGTCATTCTTTTTAAACATTTGTGGTTTCAGGTAATAACAGTTATCATTTATTATACAAACACACAGTATACAGTATTAAAACTCTTTATAACTATTTATGTTTTCTGAACATATAACACTAATAAAATCGATTCGGCAAGGGGCGCCAATGTGGAAATAAAACTAGATTGAAATGTAATTAAATTCAATAAAAATACTACTTTTATAAAAAATTGTGTAGATTAATCACATTTTTTTATAAATATTTTATAAATTCACATTTTTATCATATTTTGTAAAAAAATACAATTGTACAAACAATACAAGTATTGTACATTAGGACGAATGACATCCTAAGGGACCTCAAGATTGATACGATAAAAAATACATAAAGGATAGAGCCTTGAAATTATTTAAAAAAATTTACAGACCAACACCGCGTTATCGAATCTCAGAATGGTTACAGTATCCTCGGGGAGGTATGCAGATCTGAGGTCAATTATTGCTTAGTCTGATGAAGTGATAAACAATAATCCAGTCAACGCGTAGAGAAGGGTTTTGAAGAAACCTCGCAGTTAATAGAAAGTAAAAGTGCTTAAGTGCACTGATTCAACTAACTTCATCATAATATCAAAAGTATTGAATTCGTTAGTGTGCTTTACATTGATAACGTCCATTACATTACATTATTTACTAAATACCAGTATTATTTTCTGTTCTGGAGTTATAAGTTAGTCCTTTTTTTGGACTATTCCTTTAAAGTTTTTATAACAGATTTTTATAATCTATTGCATTAGAACCTTTGTTAATATATACCAATACCAATCACTTGATATACAAAATTTTATTATAACTAAAACTGCCCAACTAATTCGTCCTAAGATCTATAATAATGGATTTAATACTAAAAAACACTTAATATGTGTTCAGACTGAATACAAAAATGTCTAATAAACCATTAAATGGGTATAAAATAATTTCCCTCGCACTATTTGAAAAGCCTGTTACGTATATTTTGTGAACCATATTTTCAACCGTACTGTATTAGTTAAATAATTATCCGAAATAAATTCTGTTATTCTTATTATTGTATTTTTGGTGTTAAATGATTTTTGTTGCATTAAAAAAAATTACAAATTTAAAATGAAAAGCTTTGAGCCATGCAATTATGGTACGCTGTAGCCTAAGCCTGAGTTAAAAGTGGGTTAATCCTTATAAAAACATATCACATAAATCAACTAATTTGTGCTTTACATATCCTTAAAATAATACTAAATTGTATTTACCGTTATGATCTATAGTTTCAAGACTGTGCTGTATAAGTGGCGCTTCAGTATTGCCGCCTAATTTTGGCGCTGTATTAGCACAGGACCAATGCTTGCAACATTCATCATCGGGTATGGGTAAGAGACGTGCTTGTGCTGGATGGCAAGGTAAATCACTTGGTGGTAAAGCAAGCACTGGTGGACAAGCAGGACGGCACTCAACTTTACCATTTTCACAATAACAATGTTGTTCACAACCTAATGTCAAAGTGGATTGCAAACCCAAGGTTAGTTGTTGCTGTACTCTAAATGTATGTTATGGCAAAAGCAGTTACTAATTTCTAAATCTTACCTGTTAGATTTGTTGGTATGGGTGACCAATTTTCAAACATATGTCCTTGATATGTACATGTACCATTATCAACGCAACGCATACTATCCGGACAACAGGAGGGTGGAGTTGGTTTAAAATTAGCTGGCACCGGTTCCCAACGTAGACAATGTGGGTTTACTACATCCAAAGCAAAAGTGGATGGACATTTCAATTTAGCGCAATGTACACCTTCCTTTGCGCAAATACATAATTGTTCGCAACCATCGTAAAATTGTTCATCCTTCTTATATTGTTTATCCTTGAAAGTGCAAATGTCTTCACTTGAATCAATGGCGGTAAAATCGGCACTGTTATTATCGCGTGCCTCTTCAAAACCGTAGTGATCATCGCCGATTGTGTTCTGTGCTGCTGGTGGCGAAGGTGTTTGTTCATGATCATCTAGAGTAACATCACAGAATTCTAATTGACAACATACATCCTTGGGATCCTTGACAAATACACATTTATCAACGCGTGTATGATTGCGTACAGGACAACGTGATTTACAATTCATAACGCCATCTTCGTCGCAATGGCAAATTTTTTCACAGCCGATTTCGAGGCGTTCACGGAATTTGTAGGTGCCACCATTGAAATGGCAATCGGGACGTGATTTTTGCATTGAAGCTGCATGATTTCACAAGAAGTGTTTAATTTGCGTGTAAAATGAAATAAAATGATTAGTGAGTTTCTAAAGCGTGTTTCGAAATGAAATACTTAGGATTTTTATAAATCGTTATAAATGATTTTTGGCCAAAATCGGTTATATATATTTGTTATATAAAAATTTTCAAAATTTTGAATATTGTTTGTGTGAAAGCAACAAAGTTTTTGAAATTGAAATGAAATTACAAAAAATAGATACTAACATTTCTACAATAGTTTTGAAATTTTTAATAAAAACATTTAATAATTTAACTACTTGTATTTTACTATATATGATAATGAAATGAAATAAGTTATGACTTTATCGTATGCGATCCACAATTTTATCAAAAATAGAGCAACTGACAGTTTCTATGTAACATATAGATATGACATATTGAAGATATGAGTAGGGTGGTATATAAGAACTACTTTTACATTCTGTGTATAATTTCAAAGAAGTGAAAAAAAATCAAAACCAAATGATATGTTCATATGTTCATATTAAATATATTTCTAGGATTCGACTACCTTCTCTTCTCTTCTTTCTTTATTAATGTTTATTTACGTGCGCAAATTATCTTACTTCACAAATCACTATTCACATTAGATTAGTACAAGGGAAGTACGTTATGTATAGACCACTGTATATCAACAGAACGTATTGCTCTTATAAAAGCGTGTTTTATTCGTTCTAGTTGCGTATACAAATAAATTTCTTTCTACAATTATCAAATTTCTTTCTTTTATTACATATTTGTCTATTAAATACCATGATTTTGACACTTTCCAATAGATCATTATGATCCAATAGATCATAAGAACATATTTGCAACCCATTTATCAAGCTTAGTATCTATGCTGGAAGGAAATTTTTATATTCGAAGGCAAATACGTATTATTTTCGAATTTCGTCTGTAAATTAAAACCTCTATGTGCTAGTAATAGTTTACATAAAAATTTGCCAAAGTCTAGTCAGTAGTTAGTACTTACTAACTACTGTCCTTTTCTCCTAGTGGAGAATAGGACCTCAAGTATAGAGTCAGTATAGATGTTGGAAAAGTATTCCATTGTTATCGATGTTTGATTAGCGCAAGTATACTTAAATTCGGACAATTGAATCGAATACTTTAAATGTTCGAAAATTATCGCAAAGCTCATTTGTGTTTATTTTTTGGACAAAAGCAAATGCTCGAATGAATATATATGGGTATATGACATTCCAATATTTTCGATCATCTCGCTGTACTCTAGGTATATATACAAACATAAAAGTGAACATCAGATAATTAAACTTTATATATAATATATACTATAATATAATTATTTTTTATTTAGTGTTTGACTATAGATACTTTTATTATTTGCTCTTTGCTTCACGTGTATTACTATGGTACTCGCGCCTATATATCATTCGTCATTTGTCCTATTTTATAAGAATATATATTAATCCTAAACACAATATATTTTCATAAAAACTAAATAAACCTTCCTTATATAATACTGAAACTTTTTTGATTTCATCGATCATATTAATTTTTTTTTTTAATTTCTTATAAAAGTCTTTTGGCATTAATCTTATATCTGAAAAATATAGTACTAGAATAGAACTTATAACAAGGACTTACCATTAGCTGCATTTAGCCCATGTAATTCCTGTAGAGCAGCATTTTCTTTTATTATCATGGCACCACATTCCATTGTTGCACAACATTCATCATTTTCAACTGGCACTTCTCGACAATTTTCCACGATTGCTCCACTTCCACGTTTAAAACTTGTGCCACTGCAACGGGCCTCACAGATCCAATCTCCACGATTGCATGTGCAGCGTTCATCACAGCCGCGATCCATTGTTTCGCCGTTCTATAAAATATATAATTTCAATAAAAATATTTAAATTGAAATTTTATTTTTAAAATTATCTAAATTAATTAAAATGTAGAAAAAAAATTTTATAAACAAATGGGAAAGTAATTTCTCATAAAATTAGTTTTAAATTTAAATTAATTTATTAGGTTTGACTATTTAAAGTAATGTATTTACGGAATGGTGTCATATTTTGCTTTCTAGACTGTGGTAATATAAAATTTGTGGTTGTTCATATTAAGTGATTTATATCTCTATTTCCACTTTTAAAATCAAATGCAAAAGTATCTAGAGCGCAATAAAAACTTTCGGATAATTTAAGAATTTTGCTTTTATTATTTTAGAAACGAAAAGAGAAATATGAAAAATAATTTGTTTAACATTTTGCAAATATTGAAGGTAAACTTTTTATTAGAAAGTGCTTGAATTGTAGATTATCATAAAATCTTTATAAAATAAAAAAAGTTTTGGTAATTATGGTAATTAAAAGTGATCTTGATAGTATTTAGTATAACTATTTCAATATTAAGGAGATTATTCAATTTTTTATTCATATTTAAATTAAAAAAATAATTACGAGTATTATAAATAACCCGATATAAGTAGTTCAGAAAAAGTAAAATATGTGATCACAAAAAAGATACAATTTATGGTAAAAAGGTTATTGTGATAACTCTTCAAGCTTTTTACCTGAAGAAACTTTTGGTCAAGCAAGCAATGCTGTTTTTAACAAAACGTATCACTCATCGATTTAAAACTGAGGAAATGGTTTACACAGTGCGTTGAACTTTTACTAGTAGAAATAGCAATAAACTCAAAATTAGTATTCTCTTTGAAAAACACTTTTATAAGTAAAATTTGAAATACTAACGAATACACGCTTCGGAAATACATTTTACGTGATTGATGCAGCTATTTATATTTATATGACATGCTCTGTTAGGTCTTTGCGTATTTTGGTAATAATAAAATATTAAATTGACTGACATCTCTAAAAATAATTTAATCTGATACGTTTACTTAGGAAGCACTTCTATAGTTACTAATAGTTACTAATATTTACATTCTCCGAAAATGTCTCCTACCCAATTGAATATTTAATAGAAAACTTCATAAAATTTTTGATAGAATGTATATTCATATATAACTGAAGTTCTGTTGACTAAAAATAAATCTCGGTTGGTGATATATCGATTGGATTACATGTATAATCACAATCTATAATATCAGAAGAAGTTCACAAATAATACAAAATATTTGTTGGACTGAAAGCGACGGACGTCTGGTCGAAATGCGTTTATGAACGTAGTTGAATTCTAGGTACAGTTCCAAACTTTCAGTATTGGATGACATCGGATAATCTGATATCTTTTTAAAGTCAATATTTCCATCAGAAAACGAATGAAAGAAAAGAAACTTTCAAACAAATTATGATGTCTCAATCTCAAACAGAAACTTCGTGGCATCTATAGGCATAAACAATTCTCTTAGGCTATCTAATTAGGCCACGCTTTTTTAGGCTGAAATTTCAACGATTAGAGAAGTATGTTGGCAAACTGCAAGTCACATCAAGGACAGATGTAGTGTTGCCATTTTTGTTGACAGCCAAACAGCAATCAAAGCCATTGATCCGTTCATGACAAAATTAATTATAGTAAAAGAATGTGGAGAGGCAATCGACGAGCTAAAGCGTTTGACTGACATCATCCATGTTTGGATTCTCGGATCTTGGATCTTGCGAACTTATCAAAAAAGATCGTGTGAGCACTGCAATACTTACTGCAGTTCTTTCTGATTTTTGGTGTATGGGTAGCCACAGAGAGAAACTGTGCATTCCTCATAGACCTCACTGCTGAAGTTATGGAAACATGCAGGAAAAATAAACTATAACATGCTTTCTCTGTGCATGGCCGGCTTTGGCGTCCAGAACAAATAAGTTTTTAGGAAGGTAATATTTTGACTGTTTAATTGACTATTCATCGGTTAAGACAAAAGACTTATTAAATTATCAAAATTCGACTGGTTCTTGCAAGGTATGTGGTATCAAAACGTCTAATTGATGTATATGAAAGTTATCTGTTGTCCTGCCACTGTCACTAACCAACCAATCATACAGAATACTTATAATAATAATTTATTTTTTTCTTTCTAGTTTCTGAATTATATAACTATGTAAATAAATAAATAAGTTACATTCTAAATGAGTAGAATAAGTTTGATTTGGTATACAATTTTTTGACAAAAATTACCTATATTTGATTACAACAGAAATCTTTCTGAATCTATAGTTCGATTTTACTGCCCTCTCTTAGTATATGTAGGGCAAACTTCGAATTCAGTATTTTGCTTGATATGAACTATGCTTACTGATATTTTTGTCTTTTGTGGATCTTTTTATAGTATCACCTAGTATGTGCTTTAACGATTCAGTTTCTTTATCACAGTATGGGGGTTTATGTTGCTCAGGTGATACTTAAGCCTACACTATTCGATCATTACTAGTGGTAATATTGGTAATATTTTCTTATATAAGAATATATTTTGTCTTAATTTTGTATGGCTAGTAAAGCGTTCCTGTTCATTTTATCTGACTTAATCCTTTAGCACTTGTTGCATAGTAAGTTCTTATAAAAATAATTGAGATTAGTATTTATAAAAGTTGATTTTAAATAAGAAGTTTAATGCTTTCCCTAAAGAGTGTTTTAAAATTGTCGCAGAGAATGCAGAATAAATTAATACAAAGAAGACATCATATTTTTGACAATTAAACGGTATTAAAGTAATTTACATTTACATTTCGTCAGATACTTCCTTTGTTTATCTTGAATAAGGGAAAGAAAAGAGTTTCTTATGTTTTTGTTTGAAGAAATATAAAATAATTGTTTCTTAATTAGTTTACTTTGCTATAATAATAAGAATAAGTTCCTTATAATCAATATTATGGGAATAATAATAATAATTTTCCATTAAAGTTCATAGCATTCCAATATAAAATAACTATAATGTCTATTTACATCAAATTACATCACATAAGAAATATGTAATTAATACATTTCATATATGTACAAACCCCTTTCAAATAAAATTTTTTACTTTTGCGTGTAAATATAATATACGTAATGTCAAAAAATTCCATATCATTTTTAACATAAAAGTGAATGCCCCAACTCATTTGTTTTATACAAAAAAAATTGCATTCAATGCACTCGAATTCGAAAATGAGTTGCACTATTTCGTGGCAGTATCTGAAGTGTGCCATAAGCTGGAGGTATTCCACTTTATTCACATTCCAAAATTCATGCAACGAAACCGGATTAGACATTCAGTTCAAATTTTTTGTGCGGCTTTTTGTTCCACTTTTTCGGTTTTATTTATTTTTCATTTGACTTGAAAATATTTTTAATATTATTTAAATGTTTTTTCCACATTTTAAAAAAAGTATTTAAGTTGGAAAATTTATCTGATGTATAATATGATTTCACAGTTTTTAGTTTTAAAATAGTTTATAGTTAAATATAATAGTTAAATATATTAGAAAATGTTGAAAGCACTTAACAAATCTTAACCAAATACTTCTCAGAAGTTTAGTTTATAGTTACATTTATTTACATTATCAATAGACTTTTTTCTTATTCTGAACGAAGAAAATTCTAAGGAAATGTGTTATCAAATTGAATGGTTTTAATTAATTGAATGCATCGTTTTCAATCGAATTATTTAAAAGTCCTAATACCATGTTCACATTTCACTATTAGTACACCTCAATTAGTAATTGCATAATTAACTTAAAGTGTTTACACTGCAATAAACGACACAAAATTAAGGACTAATTGGAAGAAATAGTAAATATCATAAAACATTTAAAGCTAAAAACTTCAATTTATATTTGAGTAATTAATATTTTTATATTTCATTCAGCATTTTCAAGGATTTGATTTTCACTCTAGTTTAACATCAAATTTTGTTATTATTGTTATTATTAACACTTGAACACGTTATTGTCATATTGCAATGTACTAAGGCAGCATTCTACTTAATTGTTCAATTAATGGATAATCGCATAATCGTGTTATACTGAATTCACACGAGAGTTTTGATTGTGATTTTAGCTGTCATTATAAACTATTATTGATTTCGAATTCAAAACAAGTTCATATCAAGAAGATTTCTATACGAATTTTATCGGTTTTTTTCGGTTTTCGGTTTGGTTATAGTTCGAAATCCTGACTTTTTTCCGTTCCAGTTCAAAACAAATAAATATATCGGTTTGGTTTCGGTTTTTGCTCCGACAAAAATACCCTTTTTTTTCAGTTTTCGGTTCCATTCCTATTCGGAACCCTGATTTATAATATACATCCTGCAAAGAATTTATCATATGTAAATGTCACATGTGAAAAGTATATATTCTGTGAAAGTAGTTAAAAAGTATGAACATATGATAAATATGACAATCAAATTACAATACCAGGTCGTATGAATCGCTATTTTTGGCTTATCTCTGTCGAGTTCCCAGACATGTGAATTTTGAGGGAAATAAGGTAGCAGATGAGATGGACAGCAATGTCTCTGTAAATGATACAAATCCGAAGTCACTAAGACATTGTAGTGTAAATTAGATTTATATGGATATATATCTCGAGTACTTACTGCAGTGCTATGCTATTGTGACGATATTTCAATGGTGCTGTATTCAGACAAGTGGATTATATAGAAATTATTGTCATGAAGTGAAATAAAGAGAAGGTGGATCACTTTCACTTTCTTTCTTGCTGTTCACGCCTACAGATGTAGCATATGTATTATCTGGGTTCTAGTAGAGAGTGTTCTCAGAGGTAGAGGCAAAAGTAGATGAATTTATTTCCTTATCTTCATCTTATTCACCTTGTCTTCAAGAACAACACATGCAGTTTTATTGGAAAAAATAGTGAAATGGAGAAAAACTAGTTTAGCTAAGTTTAACATAATAGACGATATATACCTCTAAGTAGAAGTGTTAT